TAAAGAGAAGAAAGAAGTAACGCTTCGGACAATCCACTTGCTCGCTCTAGCGCTTCCTTCTCGTCGTCCATGATCCATCGCAACAGGCGTAGATAGAAGCTAACGGAACGATCCCGAGGAGCTCCCAATGCGAAGGTAGGCGAAAGCGAGTCCGCGATCGTCACCTGTTCAAGTCATATTTGAAATAAAATTGTAAAATCGTTAGCATTGTCCCGCGAATGTTGCAATTATCAGCGTCGGAATTCTCCGCGATCCCGACGAAGCGGCCACAGACTCGATTTTCTGCGCGTCACAATTCATTCGAAGAGAATTTTGCGACGGATTACAGATTAAACTTACATGCACCATCGCATACGCGCATTTGCAACGAAATCGCTCGTTCCGTTCGCAAGGATCTGTACCGACATGCGACACGTTCTATCCTTAATCTCTACGATTGGCTTTTACGAGAAGGAATTCACATACAATATTAAAAGTCAAAGTCACTCTCTTCTTCACCTTATCTCATAGCAATTAGCGGTGTCGCTTACATATCTAAGCGGCGGGTAACGATAATGAAAATGAAACCCCTCCTGCGCCTTTCCCCTTTCTACGCAAATCAAACGGAAACAACAATAATGCTGCGTTTTATGATATATAATAATAATAATAACATACACTCTATATAACTACGACAGCCTATGTGAACGATATCAGCTACTCCGCACTATACGCGAGACTTACACGGAAACATCCAGCATTTCCTTCATAGTCTTTAGGACTTAATTTCTCGATTATAATTGATCGCGTCGCCCCAAAAGAATCGCCTAATATCGCCTTCATTACATTACGGGGACAATAAAATTATTTATTTAGGTCGAATAAATATTTCCACCCTTAAATTTGTAGCGACGCGTCAATTAGTTATGACCCCTCCCCCCCCCCGTTCTCCTTGACATACACATTAACAAATCATGTAAAATCCAGAAAGAAACATTAATTATATTACATGAAAATTAACAATTTTTCAAACACGGTGAATTTGCAATAAACGAAAATGACCCGACCAACAGTGAATTAAAAGAAAATGTTTAGCAATATAAAATAATAATAATTTCACTGGGATTTACGAATCGTCAACTTCGAGGTCAAGAAAGAAAATTCTCGTTCCGCTTATTTCTCTTATCGTAATACATAATATGGCTCGCACGGTGCATTCAGGAAACTTAGTTGCTTCGTAAATCGCGAAAGCTTACGATAATAATTTTAAGTCTTAGCTAGACACATAACGGACATCAACGTGTTAATATCAGTGATTCAGTAACGTGTACAATGTGCAAAAATGTACAAACAAGACGGAGACGCGAAATCTTATATGTATAATGAGAACCATGCACGACGCCGCAACGTTCGCGAACGTGCACAAACTAATTAAAGTTAGCATCACTTCTCGTTTAGCTTAATGTTAACTGTCGCTCTAGCGCGTAGTTACGCCGTAGTGGCTTCATCAACTCGATTCGTACCATTATCGTGAAAAATGAAACACAAGGAGATTCGTTGAATATGCTGAATAAGCCGATCTCGAAATATACAAAATGGGAAAGAGAAATTGTGAAATTGCGCAATTTCATTTTATAACAGAATTAAAGATTTAAATACATAAATAGCAAGCGCGAAACTTGAACATACAAGCACATATACGTATACATCAAACTATGAAAATTTAGAAATAATTTCAACAATAGAAAACGAATATCACGAATCCCGCGCTTGAGAGTCGTTCGCGCTCTTCAAGATTCTATATACGAATTACCCAGCTTAAAGTGTTGCTCAACACGCGAGCACAAATTTTACTTTAAACATCCTTACATCTAGAAGCTTAATTTTATTTCGCGTGGTAAATTATCGTATCGCATTTTATTCAACTAATGAGCAACATGGACATTTAGAGTAAACTTTATCGCTATGAGCAGTGTTACGTGATGTGGGCGCTAACATTCGTATAACTGGACGGGCTACGGAGTAAAATGGCATTATCTCAGGCCAAATTAAGCCGCCTTCAAATTCTACGACAATAATCGGACTCTTCTTAAAGTATCAATTCACTCTATTAATAAATAGAATTTGTGATGCCGTTAATCGTTAGTGACAATCATTAATAGAATCTATTAATATCTATTAATCATTAATATCTATCAGTCATCAATATCTATTAATCATTAATATTATTAATATCTATCAATCTATTAATTAATTATAATTTATTTATTATTAATCACTAATCAATGTATCGCCATTAATACGCCAACAATATAATCTTAATAATAATGTATTATTATTAATAAAATCTGCGATAAACATAAATTCATATTAATCATATAACTCATTAGAAAATCTGACAATTTCACGAATGTTAGCGCGCGTTATTATTATATTCGTGAAATAAACGATTAATTCTTAGCTAATTGGACACTATCGTGCTGACGAAGTTACGACAAAGTTACAAGTATCAAATCGCCGTGTAGTATGAACGAGTTGTACCTATGGCAGAGATAAAGCTTGTTTATTAGCAAAGATCTGAAGCATACTTCCATTTATCGACTTTTCGTTGATGTAACAACGAGCAAAGATGAATTCGAAGGTTAATCAATTACAATAAAAACGTGTGCTGGCGCTAAATATTTCAGTGATAATGCTCTATCAACTAAAATGTATTGCGACTAATGTACAGTATTATATGTACAATAAATTAATAAAGAGTGACTAATACTAAAATTTCAATGCATTGCGGTGCACATCAAGCTCCAATCTCTCAGATATCTCTGCTGTCTCTGTAATTTACAAGTATGCAAGATGCTTCCGCGACGATAAGCATTTGATTTTGCTGTGTCAGTATCTATATTGCGTGTATATACTTTTTGACCACTATAGGAAAAGTATTGATTAAGCAGTGACAGGATACCTGAGTTATGAAAATGTATGAGCACCAATTGTATCTCTTCATCTCGCGACGACACAAGTACTCATGGAGAAAAAAATTAAGAAACAAAAGTTTTCTCTTTTGCGTACATGTAATTGAATATGCTAAATAAAAGAAAAATATCTCGTCGAGTAAAGAAGTATAAATATTTTGTTTGCATTCAGTGCAATCAACTTCAGTACAATCAACGAATAAAATGTATTGAATAATTTAGGGTCGATTCAGACACAGCCGTGCCGTACCCGTACCGTATCCGTATCGTTAACATTAGACAAGGATGGAGACAACATTAGACAAGGATGGAAACAATAGGTATCCTTGTCTGATGTTTCTGTTTCGTGCACGGTACGGATACGGCACGGCTGCTGTGTCTGAATCGACCTTTAGATGAAAATCGCGTTTAGTTTCAACCCTCAGGGTACGATCTATAAAAAAGTTACGTTCCGTACGGACATGGGTTAGCCTAACCCGGCGACTTTGATTGACTGTATATCGGGCTGTAATTTATCAATTGAAACAAATTTTTTTTTCTTTGGATCGAAAATTTTCTCAAAAATACAATGGCGTTGGTAGATTTATTACCTTGTTTGTTTAAACAAAGATACATTTGAAAATGTAAACCATTCTCAAAAAATTTTCATAAAAATTCATTTTTTCTTTTAAATTGCATAACTTTATGAAAAAAAAAGATATCGACATTTTTTAAGTCGCGTTTGAAACCTAAAAAGTTGTTCTTTGAAATGGCTGAATTCGTTTTTTGATCCATTCCAAAAAGTATTTTTTTTTTAACTATGAAAATACCCGTTTTTTTTGCGATAGCGATATAACGTTACTTGCTTGATTTATCGTAATAACGCAAAAAAAAATATCTTAAAGTAAAAATAGTTCTTTTGGATGTTGTTGATTAGTATAATATAAATAAATAACAAAAATTGCATGCACGGATACGTTATGCTGGTATGCTACAAAGCATCATTTTGAGGTTAGAATGCACAAAAGTATATTAAAAATAGTAAATTATACATACCAGAATACTCTACTGCAGCAAATACTCGAAAAACACAAATTTTTTTTGTTTGAAAAACACGGATTTTGTAACGTTCCGTACGAACTGGGTGTAGACTACCCGAATTCAATTTTCAAACTCGTATACCGTGAGCACCAAGCGTAGACTGACGCTGCCCCTTGGCGCTTACATAGTAGCTACCTCAAAGATTTTTCCCCCCCTCCGGTACGGACCCCCACCATTCACTTCCTTTAAAATGGCGCTACTTTCAAAATTCGCTCGGGTTACGCTAACCCAGATCGTACCCTGAGGGTTAATTTTTTGTCACAATTATATTACTGCGTTGTAATTTTACAATTGTACGTAACGGAATCATCTTGTATATTATATAAACCATCGCAACAAAATAGTATCATAGATTCTCTTTGCTTTTTTCCACCCTTTCTTCAAAAATAAATACCCTATAAAACTATTTCGCGTACATGGGATATTGTATGCGAGCCATTGAATACTATGTTGATATTTTGTGTGTGTGTGTGTGTGTGTGTGTGTGTGTGTGTGTGTGTGTGTGT